CAGGAGCAGCCCCCAGCAGGATGAGGACTGGGTGAGGGATTGAAGTCCTGCTGTCCCCAGGGCCCAGCCCTGTGGCCCTTTGCTCCTGCGTCCTTCCCTGCACGGATGGCCTGCCGCTGTCTCCCCTCGGCCCTAAAACCCTCCTCCGCTGTTTCCAGCGCTGCCGACGTACCCTTCCCAGCCGCCCTGTCGGTGCGAGGAGCCCGCTTCTTCATCGGCAGCCGGAGGAGGAGCAAGGGCCTGTTCACGGTGAGTGGGGGGCTGCCGCCTGCACCTCCTGCCCGGACCTCCCGGCCGCGTGCTGGCAGGGGGCTGCCGCCTGGCCTGCTGTTCCGATCCGGGTGCGACAGACGGGAACGGGGTACACTAGGCACAGCGGAGCCCCACACGTGCCAGGCACAGGCGACACGGGCCCTCCGCGCGCACGACCCCCCAGCTGTGCGCTCACGCCCTGCCCTCCCCGCCCACCACGCTGGGCCGGTGACCGCGCCCAGCCCTCCCGGACCCTCCCCCGGCCGTCTCTTCACCGTGGCCCTGACCAGCTCAGAGCAGCTATGGTTTGCCCGCTGCCCTTGAGTGCAGGTGAGGACTGGGGCTTCTGTTCCCTGCGTGTCCACTGACTGACACATTCCCTGCGAATATCTACCGACGGCATCCTCGGATATGTGGATGGACGGGCGGATGGGTGGATGGGCGGGTGGACAGATAAACAAGTAGATGGATGGATGAGTAGATGGACAGATAGGTGGACAGATTGATGATGGATGGCTGGATGGACCGACGGACAGATAAGTGGATAAGCAGGCCAATCACTCTATCCACAGAAAAAATCCCTTCAGGGTTTAATTACCTTAGAAGGGTGTCCAGCTCCCCACTGATGCTCCCAACACCCCCCTCCCCCGTGGCCAATATGCAGACCCTTCTCTCTTAGCTCTAGAGGTGCATGGGCCCCACCGCAGCCCCGCCCGGCCCCCAGGGCCTGAACGCTGCCCCCCCCCTTCTGCAGGGCCTGGTGAGGCAGCTGGTCCTGCTGCCCGGCTCGGACGCCACTCAAAGGCTGTGCCCGTGCAGGAACGCGGAGCTCGTGCTGTCCATCCCCCCCATCCTGCAGGGGCTCCCGGGGAAGCTGGAAGACAACGAGGTGCTAAAATATCCCTACGGTTAGTAGCCGCAGCCAACGCCGCAGCCTGCCCCCTGCCCCCTGCCGCCCCCCCCCACC